ATCTCTCTCTCTCTCTCTCTCTCTCTCTCTCTCTCTCTCTCTCTCTCTATACTCAATCCAGAGGTCAAGAGAGGTCACGAAAGCCGGCATACACTGACCGCATACTATACCGGGTCAACCCCGACATGAGTGCCACCAAACACGTGGACTTAAAGCAAATGTCATACAAGTCTTACCCCCAGTACGTACAGTCAGATCACAAGCCGGTGTCCGCACTATTTCTCATCAAATTTCAATAAGTAAACTAGTTTTATAAAATAATTAAACTGACTTGATTACGTGAAATAATAAGTATTATATTTGTACCGTAATATTCGACATTGTATTACATGTAATACTGGGTCATATCCAGTGATTTTTGCGTTTCCGAAATCGCATGTTACGTTACCTAGATAGTATTACACCCGTTCTCAGAAATCTACATATCATTACATGCAATGGTCTCTCAAAATTAACTATCGATACAACAATTGATTATTTACTCACAATTCAATTTAATCAGTGATTTATATCAGTTCATTAATAATTGTCTTTAAAATTTAGTAGAATTTTAGTTCTATAAGATCTGTAAAATGTATTTAGTCAACCACAAAGAATTTTATATTATTAATTCAGAATCAAAAATTATTCTGTACTAACTATGGGGTGTCACTCGCTGTCCAACTCTTATTTAATTAAAACCTACATGATTATATAGGTTAAGCATGTTCAATTAAGAATATCTGGGTCCGATAATCTATAGGAAGGTGGTATGGTCATAATTCAGGGGTCAAGTTTCCGATATTCGTATAAAGCTCTATACAAACTCAATAGACATTTGATGTAAAAAAGTGAATAATGCATATAAAATCTTTGAAAATTATGCGATTATCGGAAACTTGACCACTGGATTATGACCAGACCACCTTTCTATAGATTATCAGACCCCGATATTCTTAATTTAACATACTTAACCTATATAATTATGTAGGTTTGAATTAAATAAGAGTTGGACAGTGAGTTACACCCCATTGTAAGTTTATTCTCAACTTTAACTCTATTTTAATTCTATTTGACAATAATGACTAAGATTAAGGAGATATGAATTAAATTTCTAAATCCAGTCAAATTTTAAAAACTTTTACATTTTTCTTAATAATTTATATACTTTAGCATATAAGTTTAATGTTAATCCATTTGGTAATCTCAAGAAAAGTTACTCTATAAGGTGTAATACTAACTAGATATCATTACACCCCTTCACTGGATATGACCCAGTATTACATGTAATACAATGTCGAATATTACGGTAAATGTTTTATAATACTATATACAACAAATTAATTTTATAAATATCCTTTTTAAAATTAGAACAGATACATTTGTCTTAAGAGTATAGATCCTGGTTAAATTTTTATATATTAACCCTATCAAATTATTTAAAAAAATTATGAACAAAATTCAATTAATCTATTAAGATAGATATAATTTAATTAATTTGAATCCGAGTATATAATTGAATTAAATGTCATAAATTTTAGGAATTTAGTTCAACAGATTTAATATGACATAACTTTTGTATAATAGCCGCCAGATAACAGTCCCCTATAACGTTACCCGTTGTACGGAGCCTTTCCCTGTAATAGTAAATAAATGATAAATGTCATACACATTTAAAAATAACAATAACATACATGATCCAGTCCATTGTCATGGTGTATGCAAGGATGTCCAGTGGATTCTCGATTCCTATGATAGCGCTTAATGTTATGAAATTAACTATAGATGAACCGCCAGAAGGCGCTCCCGGTAAGGCCATTGACATCATGACTGCGAATATACTGTAAAACATTTTTTACATTTAAATGAAAATTTTAAAAATAATTTTTTGCTCATTTTATTATATTAATTACCACAAAGTGATAAGCATTTGAAAAGTAATATCCATGCCATGCATTTGTGCCACAAATAGTGTGACCATTGGGTAGTACATTGAACAACCATTCATATGCATGGTCATACCCAATGGCAATACAAATTGGGAAACAGTTTTTGCTAGGTCATTTTTACGCTCCATACAGTCTATTGTCACTGGTAGTGTGATGGCACTAGTATTTGGAAAAAATAATAAACATTATAATCAATAAAACGACTTAATTTTAAATTCAATTATCAATTTACCTTGAACTGGACCCAAATGATACAATTATAGCCGGGATAATATTTGTCATAAATTTGAATGGATTTTTGCGAATAATTAGCAAATATATACTAGGATATACAACAAACCAAATGATTGCAAAAGCAATTATTGATAAAGTGAAAAACCATATTAGCTGACCTAGTACTTTTTCAGGAGATTTCATTTTGATTGCCTCGACACACATCCAACAAAACATACCGATCGGCATTATTCTAGGTATAAAATTAATTAATATCTGGGTAATAAAGTAAAACAATTTAAATACTTGATTAAAGTCATGATAATATGCATAACAATATCATTGGTTTCGACTAAAACCCTACGAATAGTGTCTGCCTTTGAGTCCAACTCTTTGACCGCAAAACCCAGTATTAGTGAGAAGACACACAACCCTAACATATTTGGTTTGAAAGCCCTTTCCGATAGTTTTCTGTACCCATGGGTCAGGTTATGGGAGTCTATGGGCACGAGTGCCGTGTAATGAGTGGCAAATGTGGCGGCGATTATGTTATCCGGTATTAGATTCCTATGAATTGATACAAACATTTCGTATTATTATTTAGTTTATTATGTTTTCTAGTAATGCATACATAAACACATCGTATATACTCTCGTCCTGACTCGCAATCATTTGCTTGATGTCATTATCCTGATAACCACTATTATCTGTCTGTCCACTATCAGGTGATATGTCTGTTACGCCCGGTTTTATAATACACATCAAAACCGTACCAAATATTGCCGTAAATGATGAAAACATTATAATCAATATGAATGTCAATACAATTAAGCGCTTATTATCGCCACCTTTAGTACCAGTTATACCTAAATTCAAAGCATTATTTTTAATTATAAAATTTATGTAAATTAAATTTTATTACGTTACTTGTGGCCAGGGATGTGACAATCAATGGCACGATAGTCATCATAAATGCCCGGATTATTAGTTTCCCCAGAAGTCCGATATAAGTCAATACAACGGGACTTATAGTGAAAAATGATTTCAATATAAAACCACATATTAGTCCCAATATAGCACTCAGTATAATCAACAATGAATATAAATGGTCCTTGCACCAAACCTTGCATTTAAAAATATATTTACAATTATACAAAATAAAAAATTTATAAATATACCTTAAATCTTTGTATACTCATTTCTATAGTAATTCATTTAAATACAGCATAAAATACAACTTGATGATAATTTTTAAAAATTAATATACTACAGATTTTAATGTAAACTTTATTATCAACTGATAAATTAATTTTTATTTATTTTATTAGATTTTAATCTAATTGGCGACTTGATATTGTCCAATACAAAAATTGTCTAATAATATATTATTGTTTATACTGTATATGCAAATTTTATTTTATACCAATTTAATTAAAAATTATAATAATAAAATTTAAGGATATTAAATTATAAAAATTAGCTAAAATTATGCAACTTATTTGCTAAATGTTTTTATAAAATAGTTAGTATAACTTTTAGTGTATTTGGTTTAATAAACTGTAATAAGTGAATATTGATGTGATAAAATTGTTATATTAAACAGATCAATTTTAATTGAATTATTTATTTTCGATTAAACTCCGAAAAAACATCGGCACAATCATAGGCATAAGATACAGATTTAATAATAATCCCTTTTATTGATATAAAAATTTTATATTCAAAAATTAATTTTAATTTTATAAAATTAGATCTGGGTGTTTGATTCATTCGGATCGGGTTTCAATTTATCGGTATTTAATTCATCAGCTTTAATATGACACCATTTTTGTATGATGGCCACCAGAAAACAGTCGCCCATAATGTTACACGTTGTACGCATCCTTTCCCTGAAATAGGCATGATCAAATTAAATATTTTTCAAAATTAACTTACATAAGCCAGTCCATTGTCATGATGTATGCAAGGATATCCAACGGGTTGTCGATACCAATGATTGCGCTAAATGTTATGAAAATAACTATAGATGAGCCGCCAGACGGCGCTCCTGGTAACGCCATTGACATTATGACTCCGAATATACTGTAAAATAGTGATTAATTTAAATTAAAATTGATAGAAATTTTTAAAAATAAATCTTGTCAATTTATAATTACCCCAAAGTAACGATTGTTTGGAATGTAATATCCATGCTATGCATTTGTGCCACGAATAGGGTTGCCATCGGGTAGTACATTGAACTACCATTCATGTGAATAGTCATACCAAGAGGCATTGCAAATAATTTTAAAATAAACAGGTATCAAATATTTTATTTTCATTGATCAATATAAAGTGATCTTTATTAAAATTTCAATCAATTTATGTTCTTATTAACAACAAAATTTAATTTAATTTTAGTTTTATTAAGAAATTAATATTTATAATTGGTTGAAATTAAAGAAATTAATTGGATCATTATAAATTTTTATTTATGTAACATTGAATACTAACAGATTATTTAATTAAATTTGATAAAATAACAATTTTTTAAATACAATTAACAAAGTTACTGAATAAGGTTGTTAATTTTGATTGATTTAATTTTAATTATGTATGACAATTAACTTTAATTAAACCTTCATTTAATATAATTATCGAGATAAAATAAATGATTAACATGATTATGATTAAGCACAATATGCATTTTGCCCTGATGGTGAGACACATGCTCCAGGACAGGCCCGTATATATGAGGCGGTGGCGCCATATTTGGAGCAATAGTAGAGGTAATTAGAGGTGTCCTGCCAATTGAAGTCGTAGGAACAGTAGTACCCATAGCCTGATCCCGATATACAGGCGTAGTATGCATTACCATCGGGGCCAGGGGTGCCTTTTTGGGTACCTTTAGGAGCGCCTTTAAAGGTGCCGGTAGGTGTCCCGGCAATGGTGCCCAACAACACCGATAGGATTATCGCCAAATACGCCAATCGACTGTACATTTTGTCAGTTATGTTGAGTACTGTATACAACAATTGGTAGATAGCTAATGAAGCTTGTTCACTTTTGTTTTCTGAATGCAATTCGATGTGCTTTATATACTGTATGTTAGGATTCAACTAATCTACTCTATTATTACGACAACACAATGTATAAGGTTTTCATATGTGTATTGTAATCAACATTGGTGATTTGTGATGAATGTTGCACAATTAAATTGAAAAGAGACCTTGTTTACAAATTAAATGCTATACTCTATAAACGTGCTAACCATGATAACGCACTTCCACATTTAATCTAATCAATTGGATTAGGTTTAAATTTTAATCAAGATAATTGTCAATAATATAATTGATCATTCATTTCGAAATTTATGTCATTTTTACTTATTTGATTCAAAATATTTATTAATAAATATTAACTATAATTAGACATTATTGTTGTTATTTAAATTCAATAAATTAAAATGATTTAATCTTGGTAGATTTAATCACTATTTCGAAATAACCATATTAAAACATCAGAGGGTTACTTAATAACTATATAATTTGGGGGCTTCCATTGGACCAAGGTCTAATATCATTTACTATATTTTGTACATTTGTGAGCTTGGCTTCAAATGCTTGAATATAAGTTCTGTTAATAATTCTGTTAATAAAGTATTATTTGTTTTTATATTTATATACATAATAAAGTTTATAAATGTAACATTCATTCATTAAACAATAAATAAGATAAATGGCATTTATCAAAAGTCAATAAAATCAATAAATAGTTAAAAAATAAAATTTATCAAAATAATTATTTTATGATTTATGATTTTATCTATAAAATGAATTTTAAATATAATGATAACAAAGATGTTGTCATGGCAAAAACCACTAATTATAAATCAATATAATGTGAATCTAGTCTCATATACGAAATATATGGTTTAGAAAGTATAGTTATATTAATAACTACACTTTAATTCTGAATATTCTAATTTAACATTGCTAAAGTTATCTGATATTATAATT